AATAGATCTTTTGAATGTATGTGGTAATTTTCGGTGAAAAGTACGTGTGTGTATAGGTACACACCTATTATAAATGCTAGACTTGTAAGTGCTATGTGCTCTAGGATTGAAACAAAACAGAAAAATCACTGTCTTCATGGTGCTCACATTCTAGCAGGAGGAGGCAAAAAAATAATAAATCAGCTAGAAAAATATGTAGACGTTATAAGGTGACAACAGTGTTTTGGAGAACAATAAAATGGAGGAAGGTGTGGGAGTGTTTGAGCGGGAGTCAGGAAATTCCCGAGAAGGTGAAATTGGAATGAAATTGAAGGCAGGGAAGAAATGAGCCGTGCAGACGTGGGGAGGGGAGGGAGAGAGATCCTCGACAGGAAGGGGAAGTGCTAACGCTCCGAGATTGGAGCCTACCTGGAGTACTGGAGAAGTACCAGGGGGCAGTGAGAGTGGAGATGGTGGGAGTTTAGGTAAGGGCCCGGGTTGAAGGGCCTTGAAACTGAGGTGAGTTTAATCACTAAACGTTGTATTTACATGAGAAGACAACGTTTTGTTTTTGCCCCGAGTAGTATACCTTAAAAAAATAAAAATCAAGCGCTGACCAATATTTCCCAGTACACAGTTAATTTACTACTTCTGCCCACCTAGATTTTGAACCTTATCATTTCAGCAGCGGGCCTAGTAAACATTTCACCCTATTGGCCCAACCGTGCCATCTAGTGGTTCACGCTCGCAATTACCAGATTTTCTGACCACACAGTGAGCCGAGGGGGTGGGGCACGGAGAAAAGGAGTGCTTTCAGAAAAACAATTGGTGTGAAAAGCTTTCTGAAACCATTGCTGCGAAATAAGTCTGGGGTGCAAATTGCTTTTGTCGTTGGCTTATATTAAGACCGAATCAGAAAACAAAAACAAAAACAAAACAAAAACTGAAAGCTATAGCAACAAGTTTTATGAAATTTATCTCAAATTTCATCAATGGAACTGAAGAAAATTTTAACTTGAAACCATTGCTGCAAAATAAGTCTGGGGTGCAAATTGCTTTTGTCATTGGCTTATGTTAAGACCGAATCAGAAAAAAAAAACCTGAAAGCTGCAGCAACAAATGTTATGTAATTTATTTCAAGTTTCATCAATGGAACTGAAGAAAATTTGAACTTGAAAACATTAAAAACCGAAAATAGTACAAGTGAAGAGTTAATGAGGAAGACATTGAACAGAAGTTGGGTGTATAGATGAAACAAAAATAATAATTTAGTATAATAGTAATATTAGATTAATGACTGCTATGTCTTTTAAAATAGACTAGTTTATATGAATAGAATATGAATAGATTATGTTTCATATAGAATGTAATTATATAATAAACTATGCGTGATATATTTTGTGAGTTTTAACATGTTTTCTGTTTCCTTTTTTTTCATATTCTATAGTAGTTTTGGTTGACTTTTACAGAAAACACAATTATCTTTTACAGCACTGTCCAACATGGTAGCTTTTAAATTTTAAATTTCTGTTAATTAAAATTTAATGTGATTTAAAATTCAGTTCTCAATCTTATTAGCCATATTTCAAGTACTCAATAGCCATGTCTGTTGAGTGGCTACCAGATTGGACAGTGAAAACAGAGTATTTCCATCAGCAGCGTTTCTATTAGACAGTGCTGATCTATTCTTTACTCAGTAAACGCGATTTACTTAAAAAACATGTTTTGAACTCCTATTAGGTACTAGTCACCATGGTAGTTCATTATAGCAGATTCCAAAGAAATAAAGTAAAACATGATTAGTCTCCTAAAGGGCAAATTTTGGGAGTTGAGGAGTTTCACACACATAACCAAATATTTTCAATGCATTGTGAAAAGAGCTCTAATATTTGCATGCCTCTACAAGGATTGAGGTATCAAAGAAGACTTTCCAGGGGATATACCATTTAAGATGTATTTTAAAGATAAATAGGAATTCCACCAAAAAAAATTAGGAGAGGAGAGATTATTTTAAGTAGAGGATATAGCTTTTGCAAAGTCAGGGAAGCATGAATTGGTATGGAATATTTGTAAGATGACAATTAATTCTCTGTGGCTGATGCGTAAGAGAAGAAATATGAACCGTGATTAGAATGTTAGGTTAGGGATGGCTAGAAGGGCCTTTTTCATCATACCAAGCGTATTTATCTTTATCCTGTCAGTACTAGAGAACCATGGAAAGGATTTAAACAGCAAGTTATAGGGTTAATCTTCACTTTAGAATTTACTCTGTTGATGTTGCATGAAAATTGGATTAAAGAGGAAGATGGATTAAAGAGAATAGTATCACTTTATCCCTGTTCTTCAGCTCAGAAAGCAGCCATCATTCTTGTCTCCTTTGGTGTTCCTTCCCCATTTCACTTAGTCTACCTCCTAAATTTACCTGTGTCCACCCACTTTTCTCCATCTTTATTCCAACCATTCTACCTGAAGCCACCATCATTTCAGGGCTAAAGCACAGCATTGGCTGCCTCAGTGGGCTTCCCCTATCTGCTGCTTCCTCATCTCTTCCACCCACAGAAGGCAAACTGATCTTAAAATTTAAAATCAAATCTTGGCTATTGCTCTTTTGAACCCTTCAGTGGCTGCCTGTGAGATTCTCAGGGTGCTATTTTTGTTCCGTTTCTCCAGCTCATCACTCCGCACACCGCCTTATGCTTTTCCCTCCAGCTCCCCTGGCCTAGGTGCCACAAGCTCTTCTCTGCATTCAGGCCTTTGCACACACTGTTCCCTCTACCTAGAGTGCTAATGCACCTCACACAGCCAGTCTCAATTAAGGGTCACTTCCTCCAGGAAACCTTCGGTTCTTCAGCTTTTATATTGAAACAACCCCCTGTCCTGATTTTAGTGTTTATCATAATTGTTCTCACGTAATGGTATGTTTGATTGTTTGACCTTTGCCATGTCCCATTGACTGAAAGCTCCATGAGGCAGAGAGTGCTTCTCTCAGGAACTGCTGCTTTTCATTAGAACATAGCCTATCACATATTAGGTGAATTCCGAATGAAGCAGTGAGGTTGATCCCCTGATTCTAATGAGACGGGGTGAATGCCTGTGTAAGCAGTGGAGGCAGATACCTAGTAAATTAAGAGGAAGTGAGGTATAAGTAGAAGATGAACCAGATGGTTTTAGCTGTGGACACAAAATCAGAGGTATCATTAACAGTGTTAGGAAATAGAAGGAGAGGAAACAGCAGCATTACCGAGAAAAATGGTGGAGTTAAAGTATATGTAGATTGACTTTGAGATTTCTTTGGAACAGCCAGTAAAAATGCCACTTAGCAGTTGGATATGCCCATCAAAAGGCCCAGAAAGACACCTGAACCCAAGAAACACATAGGAGTATGTGTTACCGCTGCATAACTGATGGTAGAGGCCAGGTGTCAAAGCTGGACTGAAACACAGCCAGTACGTGCGTGGAGTCAGAAGCCAAACTAATCACGTTCTTCTTGTGGCTACATTTACTAACTGTTCCTCTTTCCCACTTGTTCCACTATATTGGTACTCATCTGGACATCACCTAGCTCCATAAGGAGACTTCCCCACTACTGTTTCATCCCTGGGTTTTTCTTTTCTTCCTGACAGTGTCCCCTTCCTCTCAGGAGACACTTCCCTGGGCCTCCAGGGCCACCTGGCTGGAGGCTGGTTGGGGTAGCAGGGCTGGGAGCATCTCCTCTCTGTAGAGTAAGGACAGACATAACAGGTGACGTGGCTCCCAGCTCGCCAACCTCCATGGGCAAGGAGGGAGTGGGGCGTTGCTGGCTCTTCGCTGGTGGTGGCTGCTGCACCTCTTAATTTATTTCTCTGCTTTTCCTTTCTTGTGATACTTAAGGAGGGAGTCCGGTACAGAGGCTGTCTCTAGTCTCACTTAAGGTTTACCTTTTTTGTGTGATGGGTTTTATTTTTATCTTGTGATTTTATATTTTTGATTTATGGTGACTCCACTTCTGTTCATCGCTGCTAATCCCAGGCCAGACTCAGTGGCAAATCCAGCTCTTGGGTCTCAGGAAGGGGCCTCCCCAACCTCAGTCCTCTTGGCCCCATAACAGCCCGGGGCTGAAGGGCCAACAGGGCATGGTCCTTATTTATTTATGAAAGATATTTGTATAACCATGTTAATTCATTTGTTCACTCAATTTTGAGCAACTTCTGTGTGCCAGACACACCAATGGGTGCAAGATACAAAGATGAGCAGATAAGCTCCCAGACAAGGAGTGAAACAAACATATGAAAATATAAACAACAGTGCTGTGTGAAAAACTCCACAGTAGGTGTGTCTAGAGAAGAGACTAATGTGTTTTTTTCATCTGGGAGAAAGGTGTCAGGTTTAACAGAACATAGACAGAGCTTGTTCTTTCATGGATTCTTTGGCTTTCCATTAAAATATTTCTGGCATACATCTGTTATTTTTGAAATTCCCTTTAACTTTTTTTGCCTCAGTAATTGAGCTTTTGAAAATAAGGCCAAAGTTTCAATCAGTTTATTTTTATGTAATGTATAATGGTATAACTGACATCATTGCTCTTGTATGAAGAAATAAAAAATTATATATGTTTGCCCTTTCTCTTTATTTACTCTTAATACTTACAGTTACTAATTCTAGTATGGTTTTCAGTTTATTCGAAATTATTTTATTGTCTAACATCTCAAAATATTATGACTATTGGAAAAATTTTTAATTTTTATTTTTATACTTGAATGTAATCTTCAATGTACAGACAAATCCAAATGAGTTTTTAAACAGCCTATACAGTAAGCACTTTCAAAAGAAAGTACATTTTTGTGAAGATTTTGTAGATAATGAAATGAAACCTGGTGATTTTTTGTTTATGAAGACATTTCTAACATTTCAGGGGACAATATGCTTTCTAAAAAAGTGAAAGAACTGTGCAGTTAGAGCTACATTCGAGGACTGTTTATTGCTGATATTTAAAAAAAAATTAGACACTTCTGGCATTCAAGTCCCTCTGTTTTAAATTGCAGCACCTTATGAAATATGCCCAGAGGATTATCTGATGTCGATGGTGTGGAAAAGGACTCCGGCAGGCGACTTGGCATTCAATCAGTGCCCTCTGAATGCCACAGGTAAAGTAGGACGACCCGCCCAAACCCAAAAGAGGATCCCATCCAAGAACAGCATGCTATGTTTGCTTATGAAGTCATGCTTTTTGTCCTATGTCCATAACTAAATCTGTCCAATAAGCAATTAATGAGACAATTTTAGTGAAATGCTTCATCAGTGGCGCCAATGAGGAGACCTAGAAAATATCGCTGATGCAACAGTTTCTCAGTGTGACGGATATGCGTTATAACAGTCATCAAAGTAACAATTTCATATGCATGTTTTTTGTAAAGCAAGAAAACGCACAAACCCAGTGTTTTAATCTGCCTCGCAGTGATGAGGTGCCTTCTAGCATCCCTGTTATAAAGCTTTTCTCTGTTCTCTCTGACACACAGGCACCACTAGCAGACGCTGCTCTCTCAGTCTTCATGGAGTGGCCTTCTGGGAACAGCCGAGCTTTGCAAGATGCATATCAAATGAGTACAGACACTTGCAGCATTCAGTAGGTGCAAAGCCAGCTTTAGTACTTGCTCTGTTTATTTTTGCTAATGATCACTTTGTGAGAATTTAACCTTCTGCTGTACAATCAAATCAGTAAAAAAAAAAAAAAAAAAAATGCCTGAAGGAAAACAGGATGTGATAGAAAGCTAATTTTTATAAGTCAGTGCTAAACTGTTTGGTTCCTAGGTTTGGGTGTTTATGGATCCTGCTATTGAAATGAAAGAATTCTTTGTCTACATGGGGAAAGACCTGCAGAAAGTCATTCAGTTTTATCTGTAAGAGTTAAAGTGTTTATCATGATTGGCACCAATCTGTATTAAATAGTGTATCAGACTTATTTCAAAATACCATACATTTTAAAAATTCTTTATCATTTAGTAGTTGGGAATTGATAAAGCTGTGTCACTTAGGTATCAAATTTCTCACTTCATTTTGACATTAAAACATGAGCAAAATGACAGCGACATTGCACCAGGGAAAATTAATTACTCACACAAGATTATGTGGTCCAAATGTTCCAAAAATAGCCCCTTTTTCCCCACGTATCATTGAATTATTCAGAGAGTATGATGTATGAATATTTTGAGCACAGGTAAATTTTACTTGGTATTTTACAAGTGAGAGTCATTGTCATTATTGGAGACTGTTGTCACTTCATCCTGACAGTCAAGAGTAACTCCATATATGAATAAACATGTGGGGTTTAGAAAAAAATATGAACATGAGTCAACTGAAAAATTAAACATTGGCAAGAATGATGTTCAGTCAAGAACCTTAGAGTTTTGTTGTGCTTTTGTTTTTTTCTTACTGTTGCTAACAAATACACATAAATCTTTAAAAAGAAACCTAAAGAATGTTCTTGCTTGTCAATGGAGAAGTAGCTTGTACAATAATAACCCTTATCAATGAAGTAAATATATTTGATTATCAGAAAAACAAAAAAGCACATTTTTAAAAATCTGAAAATAAAATTCTGTTTATTACCAAATCAGTAATTGAATTGATTATTTGGGTACAAACAGCCTTATATCTGCCATATATACATATATGTATATTATATATATATAAAACAAATATGGATATATACATCAGTATATGACTACACACAAATACATACATTTAACATATATATTTATGTGCATGTCAGTAACCAATGATATTTAGCTTCACTGAGCCTTATTTTTGTCAGAATTAAAATAATTGAAATAAGACTGGATGTAGCCAAATAATCATCAATTCAATTACTGATTTTGTATATAATCACATCAAGCAGCATTTGGTTGTCAGGTTTTTTTAAAAGGCACTTTTCTGAGGGATGCACGCATGCATACACACACGTAATGAGAAAATATATAGCCTCATTTTATAATATAAAATGTAAGAATATGACATGTAAAGGTTTTTTTTTATTAATAGATGTCAATACGCTGAACAGTATAATTCATAATTAAGCACAACCAAAAAGTTTCTTCTGAATTTTTAATGAATTTTATTTTTCTCTAACATTAGACATTAGACTTTGTTTATTTAATCTTAATAATATCCATATTCAGTTCTTGTTTATTCATGGTAATGAATGGGAATAATTTCATGGGTTAAGTAAATCATAAGTCAATCCTTACAAATTTGTTAAGAATAAATAATATCACTTTTTTCATAAAGTTTTTACTTTCTAAGTCAGTGTTTTATACAGTAATATTTAAATTAATTTGCATTCTCTAAGTTCAGGTCGTGTTATAATAGAAAGAAATAGAAACAGTCTGTGAAGTGATCTCGAATTGTGAATTCTCTAGAAATCAGTCAATAATATGACAGCCAACATGTGTATGCTATTGTTGAACTGCATACATAAATCAAGTGTATGGTATTGTAGAATAGAAAGCAGCCTCAGTGTATTCAGCTCTACAAAGTATCAGACCCTTGTCTGGGAACTTCCATGAATTAACTCCAGTCTTCACAAGAACCTTCAATGTGGGTAGCCTTAGTTTGCATAGAAAGAAACTGAAGTTCTTCAGGGCAGCAATCCAGTTAAATGAGGCAAAGCATGGATGTTTTGTCCCAGGAACAATTTTTTCAAAGCCTTACCTCTTTTCTGGTGGCTATGAAACCTGCTGAACTTTTGATTTGAAATCACCTGCCATAGATTTTATGGTTGTGTGTCCTTTGGAAATGTCATATGATCTTACTCAAGTCATGGCTTGCTACTTGCAAAATTAAGTTAGTACCATTATCTTAGCATCTCTAGAGGTTTTGAGGACAAGTAGATGAGATACTACATGTGAAATGTTTGCAAATTGTAAAAGAGCTATGTAACTCTGAGGTATTCATATCTGTGTGTACAGAAAATGCATTGAGTTAAAAAATGATCTCAATAAGAGTAAAATTTTAGAACTCAACATATTAACTTGAATTGCACATGTGGAAAAATACAGATAGATATAGATGGATGGATGGGTATGTAGGTAAATGGATGGATGGATGCAAGGATGGATGGATGGATGGATGGATGGATGGATGGATAAGATTAATGTCACATGTATTTTTATACATGGATTATATTTATAAACACATACAGAAACATAGACACACTTATAAATACATACATACACACATCTTGCACTTGCCTAGGGGTCATGATCTTCTTTCATGTTAGGCAAGTATAGGACCAATTCATGCCTTAAAGAATGCTTACCTAATACATCGACTTATTATGTGTACTCTGAAAAAAGTCAATTGGAAATGGAAATTAAATCCGTTTCCCCACATGCCCTTCCTCCTGTCATTTACATGCTTTGTCTGAGTAGCAAAGCTGGATAGTGCGTGTGCTAATAGAACTGTTCTGACTCCCACCAATTCTTAAATTACTTTGAAGACTCTTCATCTTTACTCTAGTAGAGGTCATCATTTCATAATTTGTGCAATTCTCTTGGGGGATTATTTCATTTCTCGTCCCTCTGTAAGTTATAAAGTTCATTAAATGTTAATTGTCACCTACTACAGAGAATTACTTAAAATAGGCAGATCTGTGTTTTCCAACTCTTTCACATATAGATTATAATATATGTACATACATCCATCCATAGCTTGTAATATTTCATATACATATTTTGTAAACAGCTATTAAATAGACTAAGTTTGCAATGACATTTTATCACCACCAAACATTAGTTGAGTATGTTTATGAGCTCTCATTATTATAAACCAATTGAAGTAAACAAAATGGGGTCATTAATCAGTTTAATATATAAAATAATCTGTTGTATTGACATTTAGTTTGAATTCTTTGAGGACAGAAACCACATTTTCTTAATTTTAATTTTTCTAGTGCCTAACACAGTGGCAAGCATATACTAGATATTCTGTAGATGCTTGGATGAAGAATGACTCTGCTACTTTTCTTATCAGCTGGAGGATTCTGAGAGGGCGATACACCAAACTTACTGTTCATGAGTTTAAACCATATGATTTTAATAAGTATTACCCCTCATGTGAAATTTTCCAAGCCCAAAAATATTTAGAAACCTGAAGTGATTGATGACATTACTTTATTAAATTATTTGGCAATTGCAGGAAAAAAAATGTCAATAAGCTAATAATCAAAGTTTGTTTGGAAACTTTATAAGATGCAAAATTAAACACTGATCCTACTTTTGTTAATAAAGAAGACAAGATGCAAATAAATGTACACAGTTATAAAAATTGAGGATAGAGGCATAAAGTGTTAAATGTAGTGGAATTATTGGAAATTTCATGGTTTTCCACATGTTAATGTTTCATTTTATACTCTGGGATATTTTCTGAATTATTTACCAAACAAGGGAGAAATAATTTCACAACCTGTGAGAACTAGGCACAGGAGTCAGACAAATTAAGGATACTCTCTCTTATTACTTATAAAGCTGTTAGGAGAATATGGATGAATATAATGGCTGAGTGGGTCAGCTTTTCCTAGAATTAAACAAACAAACCCACTTTGTCTCTGGTCCACCTGGACAAGCACAGGCAGCTGCTTCTCCTCTTGTTCCTTTTCCTCCTTCCCCTTCTTTTCTCTCTTTCCCTCTTTCTGTCTCTTTTATACACAAATACACACACACACACACACACACACAAACACACACACAGTGACAGACTGCATAGAAATGGCAGAATATGTGTCTCTGCAGGTAGTCAGCTCTCTAAAGCAAAAGGAATTGAACCAAGCATACCAATGCTTTCTTCTAAATTTATCAGATTGGTAAATCACCTCTCCTTCCCTGGAGAAGAGTGAGCAATGCGTGACTGAGAAGCATCAAAGAGATTACTCTAATAGAAGTCCCTCTATATGAATATATGAAGAGTTGGATATAAATGTTCCCTTTTAAGTCATTGTTTCTTAAAACCTCTGTTTCTATTTTTCAAACCTTCATTTAACAAACATTTTAAAGACAGAAGTTGGAGCAATAATCTATCTAGTAACTGAAAAATTGACTGTGGGAAGGGATATCAAAAAGCTTGAATCCTGGTTTAAGGTCTGTTTCTCCTCTTTTTCTCTACTTTTATGGATGGCTCATTAGGAGAGAGAGATAAAGATAGCTGGGTGTAGGGCGTGGCAGGGCAAGGGGGGAGAAGAGAGAGGCAGCCAAAGAGGCAGAGAGGAAAACAGAGATAGAATAGGTTTGCTTTATTTTTCCCCCATATTCCCTACCTTTCAGGTGAATTTTTCTCCATCGCAGCAAAACTCCTCATGTATCACAACTTTTTGGCCATCTCCTCATTGCACAAATGTCAGGCGGTACATTTTATTACTGCAGCTTATATAGAAGGAAGAAAGAAAACAATAGCCACCACAGCTTTTCTTTACAACAAATACTGAGACAAAAAGTATGCAAATCATTGTTTTTTTAACAACAATTAAGTAACAAAGAACCCATCACTATGGTCCAGTGTCAGGGGAATAGCAGATGATTTTAGTTTTCAAGTAGTCATCAGCTAAGTTGGGGTGAGTGAGCCTGAATGACAGGG